TTTATCATATATGAAAAACACAAGACTGCCCACCAATTGTTCATTTTTTTCCAGGAGTAATTAATTGTCTATTAGTAGCTAGATATATTCCAGATATATTATGCTCTTAAACTCAGAATTACATTGAGTCAGCTTTATACTGTTGAGACTACGTTATGTAAAAAAAACTTTATTTTATTCTGTCTATATTCAGAATAAAATTCAAAATATTTACTACTTTTCATTAAAAACTTTGGTCAAATTATCAATCTGTTATAAAACAATTGTAGTTAGAAAATGCTGATATATTTAACTTGTAGTTTTCTGATTAGAAGCCTCTTTAAGAATATGAAACTGGGGCTGGGGTTGTGCTCAGTGGTAGAGCGCTTGCCTAGCATGTGAAAGGCCCTGGGTTCGATTCTCGGCACCACATAAAAATAAATAAATAAATAAAGCTTAAAAAAAAAAAGAATGTGAAACTAATTAAACATGACTTATAGTACAGTACTTTTATTATGTTTTGAATTAAAGGAGTACATAAGTATCTAACATCAAATTAAAAAAAAATTTTTTTGGTTGTTGATTGATCTTTATTTTACTTATTTTTATCCAGGGCTGAGAATCGAACCCAGTGCCTCACAATGCCAGGCAAGTGTGTTACCGCTGAGCCACAGCCTCAGCTCAGGCTTTTTTTATGTTGCATTTTTTGGGCATTTTTGGGTTTTTTTTTTGTTGTTGTTGTCGTTTTGTTTTGCTTTTCAGTGAGGCATCAATGTTACACATTTTCCAATTGTAAATTCAAGAGAAAAAAACTCTTTAAATTCATCATACCCACATATCAGTTCCTGATTTGGTGTGTTTATGTAGAGACATAAGCAAGACTCCATTCAAGGATAGCCATGATTCTTATACTTCTTGCCTAATATGTATTAAAGTAAATCTGCAGGAAAGCTTGATTTGGGGCTTTAAGGATTGGCTCAGCTGCGCAGAAGTCACAAATCCTAGATGTTGTACATCCTTTAACAGCTCATTTGCTATTTGACCATGAGCAAATAAGTTAATTAGTTTAGCCTTTTTGTGGGAAATAAATACAATAAATGGAAACCTTAGCTAGTTCTTGCACACTGCGATCCAAAGGGCAATTGCAGTTGGCTGGAGTGATAGTAAGTATAACCTCACCTTGGCTTTGTTTCTGCAGAAAACCACATGTATGCGTCACCAGAAAGACTCTCTCTCATTATTTAATTCATCCTAATTAAACTTGCTTTCAAAAACACAATTGACTTATGGGAAATATAATTGCTGAATAGACTAGAATTTGCTAGAGGCTAGTCAGTGCATTTTCTCAATAGGAAAATCTAGTGAAAAACTAAATATAAATGTAAAGGTTTCTTCACCTATGACATGGAGTCAGAACAAAGGAATTGAATGTTAATTTTTTTTTAACATCATTGAGGTATAGTAGGAACCAGGAAAGGCAAGTTGCTGAAGGGGGCTTTCTATTAAATGAGTCAGAAGCCTTAGAATCATCCTTGGAAGCTTTTCCATAAGTTACAGGATCCCATTGATATATCCCACTTTATTCAAGCCTTAGTAAAAACTAAAGTCGGGTTAGGCAAATGTTTTAATATAATATATTCAATAAAATTTTGAATTGACCTATCTTTACTTTTTCCTAATTTAATTGGTTATTTTTTAAAATTTATTTTTATTGGTGCTTAGGATCAAACCCAAGGCCTTACACATGCTACATAAATGCTGTACTATTGAGTGACATCTCTAGCTCCTTCCAAACATTTTTTTTGAGCTCCAAGTACAAACTTTATTTCTATTACAAGAAAACTGATATTAATTATAATAGTAAAATAAGAAGAGAAAGGGGCTCTGACCCTTGGTTTTCAGAGCAAGTATGAGACTGGGACTTTAATCTTGATCGAGGCAGAGCCCCAGCATGGCCCTAATGGGTATAGGAAGCCCATAACTGTCCCCATTAAAGGACAAAGGATTCAATGAGGACACTGTACCCATGAAGAGCAGAAGGCAGTGATACCAAATGACAAGGAAGCAGCTTAAAACATCTCCTTGTCCACACATCTTCTAAACATTTTACTATAAAAAATTGCAATCATACTGAAAAGTGAACATCTACCACTCAGATTCTGCCATTAATGTTTTAATGCACCCTCATATTTATCTTTCTATCCATTGTTCTGTTCATTTATCAGTCTCTTATACCTGTGTATTTCAGAGTAAGTGTCAAATATCAGTACCCTTTTTTAAAACTTTGTATTTGAAAATTTTTAAACATTTGAAGCTCCACATACCTGTCACTTAGCCCCATCAACTGTCCACATTTTGCCAGTCTTGTTTTATATCTCTCCTTTACCTGCATACTTCTCTTGAGTAGTTTAAAACAAACAACATATCATTTCACTTACAAATACTTGCATGTAATTACGTAATTAGATTTCAGTTAGTTTACTTAATGCCTAATTCATGTTTTTTTAACATTTGTTTTGTTTGAATCAGGGTTCAAATAAGGTCCCCCTGTTACAATTGGTTGGTAGGACTCTTAAAAATCTCTTTTTTAAAATTTTGTAACAGTCTCTCCTTCTGCTTTTTTATACCATCAGTTTGTTAAAGGAGTGGGGTCATTTGTCCTGGAGAATTCACATGCTGGATTTGGCTGGTTATATTTTTATGGTATTCTTTAACCAGTTCCTCTCTCCCTCTATTACCTCTAAACTGTTAGAGATCTAGATATGTGATTGTGTTTCAGAGTAAGCAAAAGGATGTTATAGGTGGCACTGATACTTCTCATTCCATCTCCTCAGGCAGCATATGACATCTTATCATCCCATTGTTAGTGATGCTGAGACTGCATTGGCAGACTGACGCCACCAGTATAAAAGTGTATTGTTATATAATTTTCTTAGTCATCTCATATATGTGGAATCATACAGTGTTTGTCTTTTTTGTGTCTGGTTTATTTCAGAAAACGTAGTGTCCTCAGGATTCATGTATATCATTATATTGGATGAGGTTTTTTCCCTTTTTAGGACTGACTCCCAAGCTTTTATTATTTTTAAAGTTTTATTTATTTTTATTATTAATTTTTAAATGAACTCACAGATTTTTATGCTGTTTCAGTCCATTACATTTGTTATTCTTTTTGTGGCTCAGATTGTCCCATCTTTGACCAATGGGAGCCCCTTCAAGATGATAGCCCCTAAGTCCTTTTGACATGACTCAGTAATCTTTAAGAGCTTCCTTATTTTCTGGTACAGCAGGATGCTCCAGGTTCATCTTGTACATTTTCTGCAACCATATAATGAGACATTTCTTTTGGTTGCTTTTAGTTTAATAATATCACTGTCTACACAGCAGTACAGACTTTTTAAAAATTTTTTATTTGTTTTAATTAGCTATAAGTGACATAGAATGCATTTATGCACTTTGATACATAGATGAAATATAATTTCTCATTTTTCTGAGTGTACATGTTGCAGAATCATATTGGTCATACAGTTACATATATAGATATAATAATAATGTCTGTTCCATTCTGCTATCTTTCCTATCCTCACATCCCCTCCCTTTCCCTCCCGTCACTTCCCTCTACCTAATCTATGGTAACATTATTCTTCCCTGGTGCCCACCTCCCACCCCCAGGGCCTTATTGTGACTTAGTGTTTGCATATTAGAGAAAACATTCAGCCTTTGGTTTTGTGGGATTGGCTTATTTGACTTAGCATGACATTCTCCAACTCCAACCATTTACTGTCAGATAACATAAATTTACTCTTCTTTAAAGCTGAGTAATATTCCATTGAGTATATATACCAAATTTTCTCTGTCCTTTCAACCATTAAGGGACACCTAGGTTGGTTCCATAGTTTAGCTATTGTGAATTGAGCTGCTATAAACATTGATGTGGCTGTGTCACTATAGTATGCTGATTTTAAGTCCTTTGGGTATAGACCAAGGAGTGGGATAGCTGGGTCAAATGATGGTTCCATTACCAGTATTCTGAGGAATCTCCATACTGCTTTCCAAAGTGGTTGCACCAATTTGCAGTCCCACCAGCAATGTATGAGTGTGTCTTTTTCACCACATCCTCGCCAACATTTATTGTTGCCTAGATTCTTTTTTTTTAATATTTTCTTTTAGTTGTAGGTGGACACAATATCTTTATTTATTTTTATGTGGTGCTGAAGATTGAACCCAGTGCCTCACATGTATGAGGCAGGGACTCTACCACTGAGCTACAGCCCCAGCCTGTGTTGCCTGTATTCTTGATGATTGCGAGGCTAAGGAACTGAACAGACACTTCACAGAAGAAGAAATACAATTGATCAACAAATATATGAAAAAGTGTTCAACATCTCTAGCATTAGAGAAATGCAAATCAAAACTACTCTAAGATTTCATCTCACTCCTGTCAGACTTACTTTTTAACTTTCTGATAATAGTATCTTAATTTTTTCTTAAATTATAAGCAGAACATGGTAAAAGTGAAACAAATGTGATCTGTTTCTCTTAAGAACATTTAGGAAATTAACCATTCACACAGTACTTCCTACACTAGTTACAGGAATGATTGAAATACTTAAAAAAAAAAAAAAAAAGTCTTCCTACTTACCTTTAATTGGAGGGACTTCCAGAGTTCATGGCTACACTTTGGAATCACTCCATGAGTTTAAAAAAAACAACAGTTAGGCCATACCATAGCCCAATTCCATTATACTCTGTAAGATATTAGGTACCAGATTTTACAAAACTTCCCAGGTGGTTCTCTGTGCAGCCAAAGTTGAGAACGCTCATTTAGCAATGAAATCATAACCAAAAACTTTAAAATTAAAAAAAAAAAATATTTGGACTTAAAGCTCAAAGTTTCTTTAGTTCAGAATATGTTTGGTTCCAGACTTTTCTGGATAAACTTTCTCCTACTAACTTGCCTTTAAAAATGTGGGAATATTATGCTGTAAATCTGTGGTGTGTCTTCTGTTTCTGTTTTACAGATCTAAACAAGTCCCAGACTTACTGGGGGCGCATTTGGGTCAGTGTATTACCACCTTGAAAGAACATAATCCTCTGAAAGAAGAGGTAAGTAACCTGTTTTCTTAATCAAAATTGTGGACCAGCCAGGCATGGTGGCACATGCCTATAATCCCAGTGGCTTGGGAGGAGAATTGCAAGTTCAAAGCCAGATTCAGCAAAAGTGAGGCACTAAACAACTCAGTGAGACCCTGTCTCTAAATAAAATACAAAATAGGGCTAGGGATGTGGCTCAGTGGCCAAGTGCCTCTGATTTCAATCCCTGGCCATATTGTGCACTACTCTAGTCCCAAGCTAGAGAGGCTTTGTTCAGTTAGTAGGTTTTAGAGAGCTACTGGAGGTGTTTGGACAGTGCTATGAAATGATTTCTATAGTCCCTTAGGGAATTTTATCTATTTGTTTTAGGATTGAGGCAGTAAAAGAGGGAGCTCTGCCATGGTTTGGGCAAGAGAAAGGAAAAACCTGACTTAGGAGCTGGTGCAGAGGGAGAGTTTGAATATGCTGAATAGAAAATGAAAACAGTGAGCAAATTCCTGAGGAGCACAATGAAAGGACCAAGAAGCCCAGATTTAGTGTTTCTATTATTTATCATTCCCTGAAAAAGTCATATTCAGAGAAACACCTTTCTTCTCCTAAGTTGATTGTCTTGTGAAAGGTCTTGTTTCAAAGTAGTTTTTGGTTTTTTTTTTCCATTTATATAACACAAGATATTCAGACTTCTAAGTTGGTTGGTTGGGGGTTTTGTTTTGTTTTGTTTTTGTCATCCACATAGTTCAAGGATTCTACATGTTTCCCTCCCAGAGGGACCTCTATCTCTAATGTCACATACCCATGTGGCTATGCCTTCTAAAGCCCCTTAAGCCTTTCAGAGCACCTTTAGTAGTCCTCAAGCCCCTCCTTTCCTTGCCCCCCAAATTAAAAGAAAGTAGAAGGACTTTTTTTTTAAGCATTCCAAACACGTATTATACAAAATAGGATGCACCCACCAATCCCATGCCCAAAATCCACCAGTCCTTCCCCCACTTCTTCTGCCCTCCACATTCACGTATCTTTTGTCATTTTCTCCTGTTCCTTTTCTCTTCTCACCCCCTCCTCTGCTAATCCTTCCCCGTACCTTTTACTTAGTGGGAAAGATATAAATGATTACAGATAGAGACAGAGCCTCCTGTGTGTTCTTTATAGATTACAAGCCCATCTTCAGAGGTCATCTTGTGCATATCCTTCCTGTGAATTTTCATTTACTACATTGTGTGTGACTCAATAAACAATGTATCATTTTGTTTTGTTAGAGATAGATACCATTTGTATGAATTTTTCAGTATGCTTTAAGAAAAGCAAGACATTTGTGGGGTCTTTTTTTTTTTTTTTTTTTTTTTTTGGTGTGGAGAGGTTGGCATAATGAGGATTGAACTCAGAGGTGCTCTACCACTAAGCCACATCCCCAGCTTTTTAAATTTTTGTTTTGAGACAGGGTCTTACTAAGTTACTGAGGCTAACCTCAAATTTGCAATCCTCCTGCCTCAGCCTCTTGAGTTGCTAGGATTATAGACTTGGCTCTACTGTACACAGCTGATTAACATAGATCTTAAGAATTTTGTTTCTAGGGGCTGGGGTTGTGGCTCAGAGGTAGAGCACTCGCCTAGCCTGTGTGAGGCACTGGGTTCGATCCTCAGCTCCACATAAAAATAAAACAAAGATATTGTGTCTACCAATGACTAAAGAATAAATATTTAAAAAAAAAAAGAATTTTGTTTCTATTTTTTCATTTTCTTTGACACTCTTTTGTAACAACATTGTTTTCTATTTTTGTTCACTCCAAGTATATCATATCTCAGCCACATTAAGAATGAAATAATTATTGGTTGACTTCCCTTTATTATCTAATCTTTTTTTAAAAGGTATTATTTACATTAGAAAACATGCTCCAAGTTACAAGCAACCAACCTATTCATAATTTTTCAAATAATACCTTCATTTTTAGTGGGGAAGAGCGCTGCCCAACTAATAACTAATGAGTCAAATAATATTCTGCCTCCCCCAGTAGATGTTTATTCCTTTTTAACCCATCATGGTCTCATCTTAGTGATAATCATAAAATGTACCAATAAATTAATGACACAACCCATTTTTAAAAATGGAAAAGGCAGTTTTTCAAACATTTAAATCTTTAGGTGTGGCTGAAGAAATGCACACCCCCAAAGAAGCAATGTTACCAAAATGATTGAGGCAAGGCAAGCCTTGTGAACTTTAGAAATTTCCAAAATGTTTTTGTGGGCTCTGAAACTGTTTAGGTTTTACACGTAGTGTGTGTGTGTGTATGTGTGTGTGTGTTTTGCAGGGAATCAAACTCAGGCTCTCACACATGCTAATAAGCAAGAGTTCTACCACTGAGCTTTGTCCCCAGACCACACCATCCTTTTATGATTAGCCAAATACAGTATCTTTTAATTTTTTTGTGTATTGAAGTAATATACAAATTTAGTAAATACTATGGGCTAAATATCTCTCTTTGGATAAAATCTTAAAAGTAAGTCATTTTCAAAATTTAAGAAAGCTTTATTAGAAATTACTTGGTTCAGAGTCTGGTAAAGATTAGAATATTTACTTTGATCTCTTGGGTAAATGGCTAATTAAACAGCCACATGAAAATCATGTTTACCTGTGGGTCCCTGTGCTGTCGGCTCCAGTCAATCCCTTCTCTTGAGTAAATACATCATGAAAGCCACAGAAACTCAGATTATATCCTCTTGAGACCAGATAAGATCCAGCAGTGCCCATATAACCATTGAGCAATTACATAATTGAGCTGCATGCTTTTAATTCAGAAATATTTGTAATTACTTTATCTGGAAAAAAAATGTGAGTTGGGTGCTTCATTAAAATACAAATTGGGTTGGCGCAGTGGCACTCGCAGCAGCTAAGACAGGAGGATCACGAGTTCAAAGCCAGCCTCAGCAACAGCAAGGCCCTAAGCAACTCAGTGAGACTCTGTCTCTAAATAAAATACAAAAGAGGATTGGGATGTGGCTCAGTGGTCCAGTGCCCCTGAGTTCAATTCCTGGTACCCTTCTCAAAAAAAAAATACAAATTGACTTAAAAGTCCTTTTTTTCCTAAGTGATACTTATTTCCAGAATAAGTCATGTCCCCCATCATACACATACTAATTTTATTCACCAGTAAGATTCAGTCCCTAAATGATGGACTGTTTTCTTGTTCTTATTTCCTAAATACTCATTTGCAGACTCATATGAATATTTCCTCTTTCTTTTAATTGTTAAATGCACAAAATATCTCCTCTCCTTTCACTTAAGTATAATTTAAGTGATGGTGCTGTTTTCCTTTTAAACACTAAAAAATTATTTTTGGTGTCCAGAAAGAAGTTTCTTGAGGAAAAGTCAGTTAAATCTGTGTAATAGGGGAAAATGTCATCTACCATCTATAGCCATGGTTTTTAATTCCCTTGCTTTTTTGCAACTGTGTTAGTAGAACTGGTTTATATGTAGAAGGGAATTTAATTTTATCAGCTCCTTTCATATTCAGTTTGTATTTGTACCACCCTTACAGAAATCAGATTCCTTTAGAGCTATCATGTGTTTTCTTTTAAAAACAAGGAGGAAACAAGAAAACTTTGAAATACCAAGATAAACAAATATAATTCATATATAACTGTTGGCATTGAGGTTAACATTTAATATTATTGACAAACAGGCGTTCCATTTTTTATACACATAACCTCCTTTTTTTCTCCACTTGCCTCAAAAGAATTTTCTTTCATACATGTTCTTCTACCTCACTTCAAATGAGTTTACACAGGTTCCTTGTCATTCTCTCTTTAACTAGTTACCTGTTGTTGAACAAATAAATTTATTCTAATATTTCATCCCGTAAGAAAGCTTCAGAGAACATCTGTACAATTTGGTTTCTTCAAGTATCTATGATATCTCCCTAAAATGAATTCCTAGGTATAGATTATTAGGTCAAAAAATATGTACATCTTTCAGGCTTTTGCTATTCATTGCTAGATCTCATTCTGGAAGGGTCATAGGAATTAGCCATAATAAATGAAAATATCATTTCTCTGATTTCTTTATAAAACAAATATTATCAATTTTTTTGGAACCAATTTGAGAAGTAAAAATGATATCCCTTTTGTTGTTGTTGTTCATTTGACCTTTTTATTGAGGTCAAACTTTTTCCTACCCAATTGTTAGCCATTTGTACTTTTATAATTTGCTAGTTCATGTTCTTGGCTCATTTGTACATTAGATAAATAATACTTGTTCTTACTGATTTATGAGAACTTTTTAAATATAAATTTGTACATTTTGTTTAAATATTTTTAGCAGCCTTTCCTTTTTCTTAATGGTATCAGAACACAATGTCCTTTCCATTAACAGCTATGTATGCATTTGAATATATAAATTGGTAAATTGTTTCTTGATATAACTTAAGTCAGCCTAGATGACCCTTGTGGTTCTAAACATTATAAGATCCATATTTAAACTGAACTTTGAAGAAAGTTCTAATAGAATTGGGTCTATAATTCTAGAAATAAACTACTAAGTATAGTTCATAGAGTGACTTAACTGCTGTAAGATCTGAAATACAGAGGTATCAGCATCAGTCACTCATAGATGCCCTGGTGCTTGATTTCCAAGTCTTGTCTCCTGCTCCTGGAAAGGCAGAAAGGTGAGGGATTTATTTGTTGGTATTGACCTAGGCTTCAGACTACTGAGAACAGTGAGATACTCTTCAGTTTCCCTTCCTGGGCTCCAAAAGTATGTAATTCAAAGACAGCCTTTATTAGTAGCAGACAAGTTAAAAGCTATGCATAGGCCATTCATAAGCCCTATCAGAAGGACCATGGTAGATTATCTGGCAGTATTTTTTTTCAGAGGGAACTCTAATTTGCAAAACTCATTCAGTCCCAGTGTGAGATGTGTAAAACAGCTTGCTAACCCTTCTCTGGGCCTTTGTCCCTTTGCAGGCATGAGTTTCTTTCCTCACTCTTAGATAAGCTCTTTCAAATTGGGGCTTCCCCACAAGTACCTATTTTGGGGACATCTGCAAGCATTGTGTGTTGAGAATTTTTTACAGATGTTTTCCCTGACTCTGAAGAAGTTGTCTTTGACTAGAATACTTATAACCTCTCCTTGCCTAAGACTGTCTTTTGTTTGTGTATCCCCTTATCATTATTTCCTGCTTGTTAGGAACTTGTGGATTCCTTTACAGATGACCAATTAGGCAGATCCACAGCTCTCTCTTTTGGTTCCATGGTCTAGTAGAGTCAAATCATTCATTCTTATGTTGCAATTTTATCATCCGCCAAAATCTTTATGGATATAAATTACTCATTTTTGAGAAATTGCCTACAGAAGTATTCTAAAAGATGAGTGCTTTTTAAATTTTTTTTTAGTTGTAGATGGACACAATACCTTTATCTTAGTTATTTATTTTTATGTGATGCTGAAGATTGAACCCAATGCCTCACATGTGCTAGGCAAGTGCTCTATCACAGAGCTACAACCTCAGCCCGAGATGAGTGCTTTCTTTTATAAATGTTTCTGTCAAAAAAATTCTGGAAATGAATATTGAGTGGTGAACATAAATGGGATAAAATATATAAAATCAATTAACTCATTAAATCCTATCATCCCAGATGAGCAAAACCTGTAAAAACTTAAGTTGGGCAATCAATATACCACTTGTGGTAATTTTGAAATAATGTTATGCTTTTAGAGTTGTATTCTTTTGAGAAAAGTAATAAATAGATGGTTTTTCAAGCATTTGAAAATATATGCATATTTCATATATATATATATGAAAATTTTGTAGGATATATAAGGATATGTAAACTTTAGATTATGATTTTCAACATATTTTAAGTGTTAATTTTATTGAAATATTCATAGAATTCAAAATATGGGTTTAATGTGTTAAATTTGGAGTGGTATGCCCACCACATTACTTACTTCACCATCGAGTAGAGATCTCACCATAGAGAAGAGATCTCAGCACAGAACTAGTGGTAGTATTGTTATTCTTATCAAACATATGGGGACATATTAGAAAGATATTACAGCATTTTATTCTATATTCTTTTGAAGCCCAGTTCAAATCCATCTCAAACAAGAGAAGGGTCTATATGAAACAGACACATGAAACAGAGAGATCAGTTTGTAGCATTAGGAGTGTCAGTCTAAAATGCTTAACAGATATCAGCTCTCCGAAGCAGAGTTTATTTGTGATTATAGATACATGTAATCCTGGATGCACATGCTGTGGTGGACCATAGGTGCATCCAAAGTGGTTAGACAAAGGGGCAGCTTTAAAAGAGAAGTGCTAGAAATGGAGAAGTCCACATAACTATCTTAAAACAAAGACCTTGATTATAGGAGCTTGTTGCAGAAGTTAGTGTTCATGCCTCAATGGAGACAGCCATTGTTAGGCAAATGTCCTTGTTTAAACAGCATACAGGAATATTGCAGCTGGCTTGTGTGGAGTGGAATACTGTAGTTTTGAGGAATTCCTTGCATAGATTCTGTCATGAGCATATATATAAAGGACTTTTCTTACATGGCCTTCTGGTTCCATTTTGTTAATTTGACATGTCTCCTTTTGATCCTGATACCTTGCATGGGGACTAAAGAGAAATAATCTGAGTCATTTATAATCCAAAACAGTTTTAGGATTTAGGGGAGGAGAGCAATGATAAAGTTGTTTTATTTTAAATTACTTAAAAATGTCTGAATCTGGGCCAGGCACAGTGGTGAATGCCTGTAATCTCAGCTACTTGGAAAGCTGAGACAGTAGAATTGTAAATTTGAGGCCAGCCTCAGAGATTTAATGAGATCCCATCAAAAGAAAAAACAAAAAGGAAAGCCAGACATGATGGACTATGCCTGTAATCCCAGCAACTCAGGAGGCTGAGTCAGGAGGATCATGAGTTTGAAGCCAGCCTCAGCAAATTAGCAAGGCCCTAGGCAACTTCCCTGTCTCAAAAAATAAAAAGGGCTGGGGATGTGGTTCAGTGGTTAAGCACCCCTGGGTTTAATTCCCCAGTACCAAAAAAGTCAAAAAAAAAAAAAAAAAAACAAGGGATTGGAGATATAGCTCAGTGGTGAAGTCCCTGGGTTCAATCTCTACTACTGGGGAGAGAAAAAAAGAACTATAAATCTTTACATTACAAATTCTACAGGAAAAAAGTTTAAAAAACTTCAAAAGACCTTTAACAATTTTATTCTTAAAATGTGTGCTAAGACAGTGATTATTGCCAGGCATGGTAGCACACACCTATAATCCCAGCTACTCAAGAAACTGAGACAAGAGGATCACAAGTTCAAAAGGCCAAGCCTGGTGAGATCCTAATTTAGTGAGGTCCTATCTCTAAAAAACAGGGCGGGTGGGGTGGCTCAGTGGGGCAGGGGCCATGTAGCTCTGTGGTAAAGTGCCTCTGGGTTCAATACTCTAATTTGTTTAAAAAAAAATGATTATTAAGAAGTCATGTCAATAAATTATTAATTATAGCTATTACATAAAGTAATATAATTTAGAAGTACAGATTTGAAGCCTCTGAAAATCAACTTTTTTAAACCTCAGCAAATGAAAATTATAGCTTTTGCTACAGGATTTAGCCCAGTTGTCTTTGTTCATATTTTTAAATGCTTTTCATATGCTTAGGATTACTAGGCACCAACTAGATCAGGATGGAGACCCTCAGGACAGTCCAGAGGGAACATTCATAGTTGAGTGATGGCAGTTCAAACAGGCAATATCTACTCTTTCCCTTTTTCTTTCTGGGAAGATTTTGGAAGCAGGTAAGTTGAAGAGTTCCACATATGCTGCTAGGATAGAGGCAGTATGACAGCTAGTGATGGGAACCAGCTTTGGCCTGAGCTTTAAGGGCCCAGTCTCCCAGTCTTCAGAAATGAGAATACTGAGCAGACCACTCCAACAGAGATTTATCTCAATTAGAATAAAATCCAGGAACTAGTTTACACAAATAGAGCAAAAGCCTCTGGTCGCTAGAACTAGACTGCAGCAAGGTCCTGCCTACAAGGCTAACTTGACCCCAAGTCCTTTGACCAATGACTAGAATCCCTTATCCCTATCTCCCAAATCAGCTGTTCCTTCCCTGAGTCCAAGAAACCAGTCAGTTCGAGGAGGGCAGAAGGCAATAGCCTTGCAGGGAGGTCGGGACTAAAGACAGTGGTTTGAAATATCTTCAGAGCTAAATGAGCAAGGCTAGGTCTCCCATGCTCTGCTTCATTGATTCTCCCTGCCAGAGCATCTCTGTCTTCTTCTGTATTAATTACAAGCATAGATTATTCTTTTCCTCATTGTTTGCTGAAAAATTGCACTACTTATACAGTCATGGACTAAAGATGACCTGTGAGGTTTTGGCCAGTTATTTTATTCATATTATAAAGTCTTGTGTCCATTCCTCACATGTTGAGTTGGACACTGCCCTGTCTTTCTGTCATTATCAGATAGTAGTGAAAGGTCACCACTACCACCTAAGTTTTTTCTTCAACTACCTTAGCAAATTGTCATTTTTTAATAGGATGTGGAATGATGTGATCAATGGTTGTGTACTAAACATTTAACTCTCTTACCAGCATATTTTTATGTCTTTGGGGAAAAGTGCTGACTGAAAAATTAAAAGATATGGGAACCTTGGTCCTATTTATTGCCACTTTTTCATCTCTCAAGTTGGCTATGATAAAATCTGTGTCCCCCTACTTAAGAAAGACAGTCTAGTGCACTTTGAAGAAAGATAGGCAGTATGGCAGGTAAGTTTTCCCATCTCACCAGCAGACTTAAAGGCAAAGTGCAGATTTTCTTTAACCTTCATTGAAGATTAGAATTTAGAATCAGGTCAGTTATCTTTTTGCTCAGTGTATCTTCCTTGGCCACAAAGTTTTTCTGCCATCTTCTCATTTGGAGGGAGTTCAGGAGTCACCTCTAGGAGGTTGGGGATACTTCGTGGTCATGTTTTTTTCCAGATGTCTTTCTCAATCCAGACCACCTCTGTGTTACATGCCTGGAAAATAGGATTTGTGCAATGAAAGTGTAAATCTTTTCTTCAGAAAGGAGGTCAGGCACTCTGACTTTTATATATATTGAAGGAAGGACAAAACGGCCCAGATTAACAGAAGTGATCACATCTTATACACATAATTCACAAATAGAAGAACATTTCTGCTCTATATAAGATTCATTACTCAGAAAATATATTATTATAAGTGTAAATGGTTGTGAAGAATTAAGTTATGCTGGAAAAATAACCAGATGTTATTTTATCTTGAGGACATTTTAATTTCAGTTAATGTTAGGAAGCAAATTAAATCCTAAGTAAGGCTTAACCCAAAATTAAATTTGAAGGCTGGGTCTTTGAGACCAAGGAGAATGTGGTTACAATTTGTTTTGATTTCTTTGTGCTTTCTTTGAAACACTGTAGGCAACAGCATTATTGAAAAAAGCCCTTACAGAAGAGTGTGGTGATAGGTCAGCTATTCATAGTAATGAATCATCTTGCAGCTTGCCATCTATTCTGAATGACAATAGTGGAATAAAGGAAGCAAAACCGGCTCTATGGCTCAACAGTGTTTGTACAAGGGAACAAGGTAATTATTGTTAGTCTATCTACAGCAAAAAGGCATTCAGAGTGAATACAACATCGTCTTTCTTGAGGTATACCTATAAAATACCACTGACTAGAAGCTGTCTCTGATTTTAAGATGCAAAATGTTCTTTGTTTTATTTCACCTTGCAATAGATATATACATTCTCATTTAGTCCAGCAGGATTGGAAAACTTAATTGTAGGTCTGTAGCTCTGCAGAATTTCTAATGGAGTAAGAATTTATAAGTTATGAAATCTTAGCAAATCTAATCAATTGGCAGTGGATAATTTTTATCCCATAAAGATAAAGATGATTTCATTAAAATGATTCTGTGAAGTACTATGAAGTTTTTGATGCCACTTAATTTTAAACATGCTTTTAAATTGTAATAGAACCTTACCAGAGTCTACACAGATAATTAGGAATCAGTGAATTTATGCTCCAAGTTTTAATAATCAATTGTTAGTACCTAGAAACTGTGGTTATTTTAGCATTACTAGTAAGACCTGCCAGTAAACCTCTTTAATGGTATTTCCAAGACAGCTATGAGTTGCTTAAAAAATATCCAGAAGTCAATTTACATGCAGAGGATTTGAGGCTCATTTGTTTTAAGTCCCTTCCAAATTTGATAGATGTCAGGCTAAATTATTTTTCATGACATCAACATAGAGACACCTTAGTATAAGTTTCCTCTTAGAAGCAGTGCTATTTCAGACAAGAAATAAACTAACCAAAAATAGGAATGAAGAGACAGTGAAAATAAAATGAATGGCAGTTAAAAGCCCAAAGTGGAGCTAGGAGGATAACTTAGTAGTAAAGCACTTGCCTAGCATGTGCAAAGCTCTCTGTTCCATCCCTAGCACAACAAAAATAGGGAGGGAGGGAGGGAGGGAGGGATAGAGGAAACAAAACTCTGTTCCATCACTTTTAAATACATTTTTATGATCATGTATTCAACTTTTAGAAGCTTCAAGTGGCAGCAAAGACGAAAGTAAGGAGGAAAGCCTGGCTGCAAAGGTCCCAATCACAGGTAAAATTATGGTTGCCTGACAGTTTCAAACACAGTCTGTAGTCTTTTTACATAACCAGAACATTATAATTAGTGGTTTGTGAACCCTGCTAGGAGCAAGTATATTCAACTACTGTATGCTGGAGCATTAATTATAAGATCATAACATACAAACTTACATTATCCTAGACTAAGGTGGCAGAAGACCATGACCATTGAACTCTTCATCATGATGTTGTTATACATTTACACATGTGAGCATCCTCCATTATGCAGCCTTTTAGCACCTGCATCTGTATGAGAATGGTCAGTCCCGAGAGGAACACCCAGTCATTGCATGATGAAGTACAGATGTTTCTGATTTTACTCTTTTCTTTCCCGTAATAATTACAGGTGTATCCATAAAATAAGAACAGGGAAAAAGTTCCAGACAGGAAATTTTCTAGTGCCTCATTACACATCCTACCTGGTAATTCAAAAATTTCACCAGTCAACCTTCATCAAGACCTATTAAGATTTCCGCACAAGTATTAGGTGTGTTTAGAGGGAATCTGAATGATATAATTACTGTTTTTAGGTTTAGAATATCAACAGCAGCAATTAGTATTCTAAACAGAGTTCTATTTATTATACATCTAAATTTACTAGCACCTTATTTTGTAAAGTGGTGTACTACTTCATTATAAATTCAAAGGTCTGACTTTAAATATTTATACAAGTAAATACACCATTGCACCGAGGTATTAAGGCATGCATCTGCATATGTGGTAGTTTTGTTCTTGTTTATAAGCAGAAAAGAATGGTTTGTTTTTATGGCAGTACAATTCATGGCATGATGATTAATTTTTTAAACTCATGCTTCTGTGATGAACTCTGGTTTTTAAAAAAGGAACTTATAATAGAACAATTATTATTTATTTTGTATGTCAGATAGTATTTCACTCCAAAATACAGGGGTTTTCTTTCCTTTTAAATTTTTTTTTCAGTGATGTTTATTGTTTTGAGAAAATTGTTATGGTCCCCACTTGATTATTTTTATTAATAGGAAAAATTTAGAAGATCCTAAACTGAAAATAACTAGGAAATCATTTGGATGCCTTTTACTTGTATTTACTTTTGAATGTAGAAGTATGTAATGAATGGTCTCTGGATTTGTTTGAGTTAAAATTATAAGGATTATTGAGGAGAAACCAGAAAATGACCTCATTGCCCATTCTTAATTCTCTTTTCTGTGATTTTTCCCATCTCCCTTGCTGTAAGTAATGCCCCCAAATTAATGCAAATGTTATTACCTCATAGATTTTCTTTTTAAAAAAATTTATTGGTACATTATAATTATGCATAATAGTGGGGTTCATTATGTCATATCATACATGCACATAACATAATTTGATCAATCTCATTCCCCAGTATCTACCCTTTCCCTCCCTCTTCCCTTCCCTAACCCTATTACTCTGCTCTACTGATCGTCCTTCTATAATTATTATTTTAATTAGTGCATTATATTTATATAAGCAGTATTCATTGTGGTGTATTCGTACATGGATACAGCATTGTTTGGTAGATTTAGAATTCATTCTCTCCCCCATCTCCCCCGTCCTTAAGTTTCACATAAGAGAAAACATTCAATCCTTGACTTTCTAAATCAGGCTTATTTCACTTAGCTCAATGTTTCATCCGTTTACCAGCAAATGACATAATTTTATTCTTCATTATGTCTGTGTCACTTACTTTCTCAAGGTTTTAAATCTTCTTTTCATGCAGAAAGAAGTATGGTGTGTCTAAAAGTAATCAAGGCTATTTGCAATTAAGACTTTATAAAAGAAACTACAATTCCAACAATCTGCTGGACATGAAAAACTTTTGGAAAGCCACTTACTTGTTAGAGCATTGCTGTTCTCTGTCTTTGCCACCACACTTTCATTCTTCTGTCTTTGCCCCAACCCTTGAATCTCCCACAAAGTTTTTATTGAAGGGCCTTTTGCATCTTGGTTCTGCTTAATACTGTTGCTGTCATTGTAGTCTCTTAAGTTTCTGACCATCATTAAATTTTTGTGGTTTTGGCATAATTATTTAGAGATTTGTGTTTTAGTAGAATAAAGCAAGTGTATTGTTTGATTTAAGACAGATTCCACTCACCCCTTTATATTAGTTCTGTTGGAGTATGGGTTTGTATAGGTGCTTACTGGTTGTGTTTGTATGGTCTGAATTCTTTCTAAAATATTCCAAAGAAAAGGAATATCAGACTCTCCCCTAGAAGTTAAGGCAGTATAGCAGTTGAGCCTAGGCTTTGGCATCGGCCATCAATGTCTTTTCACTCTCTGCTCTGTTTCTCTACCTACTGAGCCTTTGTACAGAGAGAGCGGACTTGACAGGATTGTCTTCCAAGTTTAAATGCAGTCATGTTCATCTGCCACATAAAAACTAGATACTTGGTACATATTATGTCTGATGTATAATAATAATCTTGTAAATAATAGTAGGGTTGTTGGTCTTCTGTGCTGGTTCTAAACCAAAATTCTAAACCAATGACATCTAGTCAAAGGAACCACACAAAGCAAACTCTAAAGAAAAAAAGAAACAAAGGAAATGGGATGCCGTGTCACAGAAAGAGAAATTTGATGACAAGCCCCCAGATGGTGTCTGGATACCTCCAGTCTGTCATTTGTCACCTGCTTACTTTCCCTGATTTGTGATAGCCTCTTAGGACTAAGACCAGCCCAAACATGGACCTACTATAATTTAGTACCACCAAGTTAGTTCCTGCAGAATTTCCACTTGAGTACATACTTGATGATTTGAATCCAGAAGGATGTTTACCTTATCAAAAAGGAATCTTGAAGAGAGTTTCATGTTACTTTGGGACTTCTAATTAGGAAAACTTAGAGAAGAATCTCAGAAAGCTGATTGAGTAGCTTCCTGGGGTCTCATTGGTCAAAGCTGGATCTCTGCCCATGAGTGCCTGCCTGCCCCTAGTAACCCTCATGTGCTCACAGTTGAAGGCATTGTGCAGCCTTATAAGTGTTTATAGACAATGTAGCATTTTTCAAAATGTGTTCTATGCAATGCTTCACCCAGAAAATACTTCAACAATGTGTCATTTTTTATGGCCAAACCCTGTGTGATCTGTCTCCCTCTGCAGTATACAGAATACACAGGAGCATATTGAAGATGTGCAGAAAACCTTCAGTGGAGAAATTATTTAAAAAGTATGAACGTAGAGTTTCAAATAAGTTATCATCTATTTGAAAATGGAATCCTTCCTATTAACAGCCAGTAGAATTAATGTTTCATGGAACATGGAGTGGGAAGTACACAAACATGCATGGAATGTTTTTTAAAACAACCAATCTATTAGGGGCAGTTTTGTCATTACAGTAAAGTTATCTTTGTTGTTTTCTTGTAGTTCTGTTTTGTGTGAACCTCCCTGGTGGACAGTATTGCTTTCGAATGAGACTTTAGGTTACTCTAATATAACTACAACCAGATGTTTTAGTTAAAAGCTACATGTTAAAGCAGTTCTTCAAATTGACCAGATTACAGTAGTTACTTTTTTTTTTAAATTAGGCATTGAACTTAGAAGCAGTCTACCACTAAGCTACATCCCAGTCCTTTTTATTTTTTTATTTTGAGACAGGGTCTTACTAAGTTCCCATGGCTGGCCTTGAACTTGCTATCCTCCTGTCTCAGCCTCCAAATAACTGAGATTACAGGCATTAAACATCACACCTGGTGCTGGTAACTTTCAGTAGTCCAGAGTGCTTTTCTTTAGTGTGGGTCCTTCTCTCTGAGTCTGTTAGCTTTGCAGCCATTACAGAAGACACATAGTAAGGAAAGAGGGTGAGGTGAGATCCAGGGCAAGTACAAGAGGTGTTGGAGTGTGAAACTCTGAAGTTACACCATTTTCACAATGATGAAACATCCTGGGCATGTTTAACCTGAGAAGGGCATAATGCTATCTTTAAATATTTGAGAGACTGCCATATACAAAGCAGAACATTTATAGAACATAATTATAGAGTATAGTTCAGTAACAAAAGAACTTTCAAGCTCTTCATTTCAGCAACACTAAGCTGTCTTCCAGGTGTAAGATTCTGTGCTGGGTGTTTGAACTGTGGCAGGAATCGTGGCTCTCTTAAGGGAACAAATTCCTGTTTCTGGGAACTTTGGCATCATTCTAATACTGAGACCATAATTCTTATTCTATACTAAAGGAATCAATATGCCAACATTCTCATATTTTATTTTCCGTTCTTATTTCCTGATCTTGAGTTTTCTTGGCAGAGGGCTCATCCTTAAGGAGTTTGCTGTCATTCCAAAGGCATTTGCTTTGTTAATCACCATTATGTGAGTTTTCTGTCCTAAGATTTATGTAGAAGCCCTCATGTACACAAATCTACACACACAACCAGAGTAAACATTCCCATAGTCTTAACAATCCTCTGTTGTTAACACAGTCTACACTTTTATTTGTCTGTTGTTCTCACTAAAGTATCCAGGTGGAAATTAAAGATTAATTTTGATATCTGTATGTAGTTTTCCATATATAATAAATAGTATCATTTACATGTGTATTACATCTTTTCTTGTGCTGAATTCTGGGATACCAACAATAGCACAGACTGGGCCCCTGTCTTCAGTAAGCCTCCATCATTTCTAATCTTCATAATAATCCTGTAAGGTAAATATTATTAACTCATCTTACAGTGGCCAAACAGAAACTTAGAAAGGGTATGTCTTGCTCAGGGCTATGTAATTAGTGTGTTGTATCAGGAATAAAACTGACTTTAGGATTTGAGTCCTGAATTCCTTTTATTCTGTCACCCTGTCTCTTTTGTTTTACTAAAAAGGCAATTGCAACAGAGTGTCTGGTTCAATCAAATATCAGTGTATATCATAACAAAGATGAGCTCCACAAGAATGCTTTTGAAAGCCATGATATACAAAGCCACACATTTTCTTTCTCTTGGGCTATGCCTGGAGAAGTGAGCAACTCCCAACAATTTCCAAGTACAGGTTAT